TACATCAATGTAAGTTGAAATATTTGAAGGAGACATGTCTTTATGTGAAATATTTTTTATTTTTGAGTGTGTCAAATTCCTTGATATTTCCGTGTTATTATTACTTATTTTATTTAGTTTTACAACTTTATTCCTAAACAAATCTCTCTCTCAATATATATATATATATATATATATATATTAAAATTTCACTAATTATATTTTATTTAACTTTTTAGAATTATTTAAATACTATTTGTTAATAATTCTATTAACAACTAATACATATTTATATAGACAATCTTCAAATTATTAATCAAAGTACTCATGCTACCGTGCAACGCACGGTTCCCATACTAGTTGTCATAATAAATGTTACCATGAGAAATGTCATGTCATCTAAAACAAATTCTTCATAAACACTCCAAAATTACGGTAAATTAAAACCTTTTACAATGGAAGACTTTATAAATAATAAATATGTAACTGAAATGCTAACTCGTCACATACCCGATGCGTTACTAAATTTATCCATCAAGATGTCTGCACATAAATACTGAACTTAAATGGACTAGACAAGTTTCTATGTGTGTCATTTTTCTTTGCCCAACTCTAAATATTATGTCCTTAAGATGCATATTATATTCAACTTATAAAGCTCAACAAGTCCATGAAATCAATTCATATCATACATATTGAACTTTTAAACTCTAACAAAATAGTCTGCAATTTCTGAAAAACATGCAACACCAAAAGGAAAAAAAAAAAAAGAGATCTCACAAACTGTCTGATCGGGTATGGGTCTTGCCACTTGTCATGTGAGATAAAACCGATCATAAATTTTTTATATGAAATAGGATGATGGATTTATCCGAAAACAAAATAAACACATAGTATGCAATTGATCATAAAATAACATACATGTAAAATATACCGTATCATGTATGTAAAACTGAAGCATCATGCATACGTACACATCACCATACAAATCATATAATGCTCAAAATAAATTTGTACCTAGCTATAAATCACATCGTAATTCTCATGAAAACTCACCTAATTGCGTATAGATCGACTATTGAAAGCTCTTGACTGAAAACCTACATATTTCATATCATAATATCCAACTAATTGCTTAATTTCTCCAAAAATCAACAGTCAACTTTGTCAAACTCCAAAATCAAATCTCTTAATATCTCAAATATCTACATGTGATCTTAACATTAAAATCGTTGTGGGTCAAACTATGCTTTAGTCTAATTAACAAAATCATTCTATCATCTTATCAATCCATCTCTCTAAATTTAAGTATCCTGATAATTATTTAACTCAAATACGACGCTTTAGTCTAATTATAAAAATCATCTAAATAATTAAATGATTTATTACGAACACCTTATCCTTAGAAAATAATAAATAAATGATATTAATATTCTAAAATATATTAATATATTAATATATTAA